GATTATGAGAAAGGGAGAACCTGACAGTTAACTTTTGGAATGGGCTCCTGGGGAGATCTTCTAGGATCCTCACGCTTCCCCGGGAAATAAAGGAGTGGGGAGGACGACGGTGGGGAGGCCCAGTGTTGGTGCGGAACAGGGGTCCCCAGAGGGATGGCATCGGGGAGTCCCCCCCTCCCCCGCCGCCGGCCCCGCGCGGATCCCGCGCCAGCGCTCCTCACGCAGGCGAGAGCCCGCTAGAGCCGGGCTTGGAGATCGGCTCAGGCGCCCGTGTCTCTGGGTCTCTGTTCCCCTTGACCCTCCCAGAGTCGGCCTGGGCTCTCCGTCTCTGCTTGAGTCCTGCTTCTTCCTCAGTCCCCTTGGGCGGCAGGGGCACACTAACCGCGTCCTCCCCCCCCCCCCCCCAACAGCATTTCTCCACAAAAGCGGGCGTCCAGACCCCCTCGCGCCCCAGGGCAGTCCTCCCTTCTCCCTTCTGGGAAGGCGCAGACCTGGCTCGCCCCGGCCGCTCTCCTCCCCTTTCCCTTGGCCTGGACCAGTCACCCTCCATGGGCCCGCCTTCCACCCTGATTCGGAATCCCTCCAGATTCAGTCCATTCGGTCGACCCCTTCAAGAAGCCTGAGTTTCTACGTCGCCGCTGTCCTGGCTTAGCTCTGGGTGGCGCATGGGGAGGGGGGGGTGCCTCACAGGTGTGGAGGACACGTGCCTCCCGTGCCTGCCGCGGGGCTTCTCCTTCCTAGAAACCTTTAGGGAGGCCGAGCCTGAGACTGGCTGAAGAACTCCATGCCCATATTGGGCCCTGATGGCTCCACCACCACCCCCAGGCCACTCTCTCCCTAGAGCTGGGGGGCTTTCCTGGTCAGCCTAGTAAAGACATTGCCTCCACTCTCCCACCCATTTACACTCCACTCACAGTGGGAACCTCTGGGCCTCCGGGGCCTTTTACCTCAGGCAAGGGCTTGGGAATGCCAGGAAAGACCCCAACAGCTAGAGGGAGGCATGAAACCACCCTGGCCCCAGGCAGACTAAGACCCCAGACTACAGACGCTGGGACAGCTGCCCACCAGGCCTGGTGGTTAGGAAAGAGAAAATGCTTTGGGACTCTCTGGGTTCAACCAGCTACCTTTAAGATGCTTCTGCCATTTCAGTCGCAGCCTGGGGGCTCAGAAGTCCCAAAGCCTTCCTTCCTGGCCTCCCTCTCCAGCTTCCTGGACTCTGAGTCACTGGCCCAAGGGCTGAACCGGCCCCTCCCTAGGCTGGGGGTGCCCCAGAGGCACTTTGCGCTTGCGCCTAGAGTTTGCACACTCTTACAAAACACCAAACACCCATGTGTCTGCCGCAGTCTTTCTTCCCCACTGAGGAGGGAGAGGGGGTCAGGGAGACCTGGCAAAGCTCTGAAGAACCCAGGCCTCTCTTTACCGCAGTTGACTTGCAGCTGGAGGGAATAAAGGGCAGGGAGGGGAGGGCTGGTCAGAGGGGACAAGCTCCCCCATCCTCCTACCTCCCAGCGGCTTCTACTCTTCTTCTTCCACCCTAGCCTGGGAATGCCCGGGGAGGCCTTCTTCCCCTCCCCTTAAAGAGTGGGAACAGCCTTCTATCATGGGGCGGGGGGATTAGGTAAACGGGAGAAAGGGTCAGAGAGAGAGAAAATTAACTTACAGCGTTCGCCTGGGATTCATTTGCGAAGATGTAACCCCTCACCATCATCCCCAGCGCCGTAATCCCCTCTAACTGCCAGGCCCTCTGTCCTAGCATTAAACCTCACCAGCAGCTGCGTGGCTGGACAGTTAAGATTATATATGATGTAAATATATTGTGGGTTTGTCAGCTCTCCCTACACCATAAAACTTGGTTTAATGACATCACGTGGTCCCCCAAGAGCCACTCACGGGCTTGCCTTCGGGCCATTCACATAAATAACCTCCAAAAGTTTCAAACTCCTAAATTCACATAGAAGCCGTGCGTATTTCTCTAATGCTCAGTTACACTAAAAAGCCCTTGTGCTGCTCCTTTGCCCCACCCCCACACCCCCCTTGCAGGGTGGGGAGGGGGGAGAGGGTGGATCCTTATTTATTTATTTATTTACTTACTTACTTATTTCCATAAGGACCTGTCGCCTTCGAGGTCGTGTTGATATTTTTTCCTCCTATTTTTTTTTCCTCCTCTCTCCTCTAATTGCTCAGAGTGGGTCGTGTCCCCCTCTTCCCACTCCCCCGGGAAGGTAAGTCATGCTTCTTCCCCTTTTTTTTTCTGGCTGCCAGAGGGGGTGGGCTTCAGGGCAAAGTGGGGAGGCAGGCTCCATGGTCTCTGCTGGGGACCCAGAAGCCCCTCCACTAACTTTCCCAGAGCAATGCCAAATCCTGGTGCTTGGAGATTGTTCCAGGAGGCTGGCCGGTGGGAGAACCCCCTCCCGCCTGCCACCCCCCGCCCCCAGGCTTCAAAGCAGAAGCCTCTGCTCTGGGAGAAAGCAAGGGTGTGGGCCGTACCTAGCCCCAGCGTCGGGGAGTGTGTCCGAGGCCTCTGGCTAGGTTGTGGCTGCTGAGGCCGCGGAAGCAGAGGCTGCGGCCTGGGGCAGGCCTGCAGACTGACAGGAGGGGCGGGGGCAGGCAGGCGCGGCTGCGTCTACCCAAGCCTGGCCAACTTGAGTCAATCCTCCAGCTGCTCCAGGGAAAGAGGCCTTAACACTGCAGGAAGGAGGCGTTCCGTGCCAGGTGGGGCTGGTGTGCCCTGCAGTGCGGGTCTGAGCAACTTTGCCCCGGGACCGGCCAAGCCCTTCGTTCTACCCCTGGGGCAGTGCGTCCCCTGGGGAGGAGGTTCCGGGCCTCGGCAGCCAGGGATGCTGGCGTGCATGATGGCGGGCGCCACGGCCTCTTTCTTAGTTAACTGTTACCCACTGGAGACACCAGTGCTTTTCCACGCTTCACCGCTTGCCCAATAGTTTTACTCAGCATGGAGAAAAAATTAAAATAACTCCCTGAAGAAAATTACACATTTTATTTGAGAGAGAGAGAGATTGAGAGGGAAGCCTAGGTGGTGCTAGGTTGGGCAGACTGCTGTGTGCTAGTCAGGGAGAGACGCAACGAGCGCCCTAACCTGGCCTGAGTGCCGTTTGAAGGGAAGGGTGTAGCAATGGGCACAGATCAATAAACATTTGTTGAGACCTCCTACGTGCTAGCCACGGGGTGAGGAAAGACTCCTGGGTTAAAAAAAAAAAAAAAAAAAAGACAGATGGATAGCTTAGGCAGTGGGATGCAGAGAAGTCAGTCCTTATAATAAATCCAAGGAGCATCAGCATTAATAATCATAAATATTCCCCTTGCCCCTCCCCAGAGTCTCTCTGCTCCCTTTCCCTCTTGGCTGTAAGAGCAGCCTTCTAGCCCAGCTCCTTAACCGCACCCTCCCCCAGTGTGGGGGGCCTAGGCTTGGCTCCAGGAAATCACCCCCATTGTGGGAGGCGAGAGAGGAAATGCAGTAAAGTTTTATGGACCCTTCCCACATTTGTTTCTCCTATAAAGTACTTCCTCCCCCATCCCATCCCAGGAGCCTGGAGCAGAGCAGAGCGTGGGCCTCAGCCAGCCTCGGCACCACCTGAATTATCTGCCTTTTCCCCTCTCCCTTTAGCCCACCCTCCCCCTCCACACAAAATCCCAGAGACTGAGACAAATGATGGCAAACAGACAGAACTCAGGCACCAGTCTATGCAGCTCCTTTCCCAGCTAATTGTCCTGCATAGCCTTAGGCCCTGGAAGTGGGGGAAACAGTCTGCGCATTTCTTGCCAGGCAGGTACACTGTAGGCTGCCCTCCTTGCTCCCATCTCCCCCAGGATCTTAAAAAGCTGAGACACACTTCCTCCAACTCCCCCAGACCCCTTCACCAAGAAGTACCAACTCTTTCTGAGGATCCTTCTTGGGACCAAATGGGCCTCTAGGCTGAGGGCTCAGCCCTCCCTCTATGTCCAGCAAGGCCCCTCACCTAGCTCTGGGAGAGATCTTCAGAGGCCCAGGTTGGAGAGTATGAGCACCACGGAGCCTCCAGGCCCGGCAGATTAGCTCTGGCATGCAGTGGGGGCCGCTTGCCAGTCTAGAGGCCTCAGATCCACCCAGCCAAGGTGGGAATGGGGTGCAGAGGCCTGAAAGCCTTGGAGAGCCACAGTACTGGAAAAGCCAGTACAGACTGCCTAGGTGCCCTCCCCTTTCCCCCGAAGGCCCATCTGCGAACCAGGGATCTGGAAAGGAGCTCAATTTCACCTCCCTCTTCTCAATCCCTCTAGAAGCTCCTAAAAACTCTTTTTTAAAAAGAGGCTGAGAGGCTGTGGGCCTCCCCTATACTCCACAGACCATTTAGACACTTTTACCCAATACATGCCCCAAACAGAGAGGCACCGCTGCATCTTTAGTCCTGTTCTCTCTTTGTCTTTATTTGATATGACAAAATATAGTTTCAGGAAAGACCTGGAGTCAATAAATAGTTGGACAACAGTGATGGGGCAGGAGGGCACAGAGAGTCGTGGCAGGGACTAGTGGGCAGCCAGGAACCTCTAGGACTGCTTGCTGGGGTCCAGTGGCAGGGAACCCCCATGGTTGAGCTAGCTAGTGGTCTGAGGCAGAGGGGCCTGAGAAGGCATGCAGAGGGTGCAGGCTGGAGAGGTTACGGGGCTTAGGGATGGGTGAGAAGGTTTGGAGAGCCTAGGGCCACCAAGGGGGCCCTAGGCGGACCTTCAGTCATCTCCCCCCATTTCATATGCAAATCATTAAAAAACCGAACATGGAGTTTAGTCGCTACAACGAAGCACCCCGAGTCTGGCGCCGGACTCCCCCAAGCATAGCCACTCTCGCCAGCCCTCAGCCGCCTGGCCAGCCTAAGCCGGGAACAAAGGACAGGGGAGGCCGGAGGGTCGGGGCGTGGGGCCCGGAGCCCCCGCAGGACCCCCCCTTAATTCCCGCCGGCCGTTCTGGGGCTGGGAACCTAAGAGGCGGCCCAGGCCCGGTTTGTTCAGCACCAGCCCGTCTCCCACAGCCCTCTGGGGAGCCCCCGCGGAGCTTGCCCTGGCCCCCCCCCCACCTCCGGTGCTGAGCAGAACTGAGGGGAGTCCGCGCGGCGCGGACAGCCCCGCAGGAACCTGGGGTCGGTGGGGATGCGGAATGCCAAGGGAAAGCGCTTTTGTCTGTGAGGCCCCGGAGCCGGTGCTGCAGCCCCCGCCCTTGCCCCAAAATACAGAGAGAGGAAAACCGAAAAGGAAAGGCGCGGGGACCAAAGCGGGCTCGGGGCGCTATCTGCGGGCCTCCCCGCTGCCTCTAAAGAGCCTCTTTGCTTTTCATTTTGGAATCTTTCTTCCACTTCATCCTGCGATTCTGGAACCAGATCTTGATCTGTCTCTCGTTGAGACACAAGTTGTTGGCGATCTCTATGCGCCTGCGGCGAGTGAGGTAGCGGTTAAAGTGGAATTCTTTTTCCAGTTCCAGAGTCTGGTAGCGCGTGTAACTGGTTCGGGACCGCTTGCCGTCCGTCTCTGGAATATAAACCCCCCAAGCCAGGAAGGGGTGAATAACGTGCAGCGCCCCAGCGTCCCGACCCCAGCCCAGGCCCCCACCCGCCAACGGAGGGAGAGGAGGCGAGCCGGACAGGACAGGCCCAGCGGGCCGCAGGCGGGCCCGGCCCAGCCCAGCACAGCCCGGCCCAGCCCGGCCCGGCCCAGCCCGGCCCAGCCCAGCCGGCCCAGCCCAGCCCAGCACAGCCCGGCCCAGCACAACCCGGCCCGGCCCGGCCCGGCCCCGGGAGAGGCGCCTCTGCCCTGGCAGGAAACTTTCCGCCGCAGCCTTCACTCAGCAGCCGGAGGGGCTGAGGGTGTGGGGGGAGAGGGAGACCCAGGCTCGGACCGAACAATAAGCACCCTCGAGATCCGAGCACCGGGGACCCCCCTCCCGCCCCTCCCGAGTCGCTGGAATCCTCCGGAGCGGCCAGCGCCGGCCGAGCCGGCTCCACAGGGGAGGGAGGGAGGGAGCCGCGGGGGGATCCCCGCTCTGGAGCCCCGCGCTCCTCACCCTTCAGATCCCTCTATTTTTTTAACTCCCTCCCTCTCCCCCAAAAATTGAATATTGCCTTTTATACACGTTTTGTTCCTATGATCCAATTATGTCGTCGTAAATTTGGGCGCACACAGCCTCTAAGCCTTTTAGTGGACAGTTTTACGAGCCATTGATGCCTGGATCGTAAAATTTATGGCCGCAGGTTTTTTTTCTTTATTTGCCCCGCATGGCCTATAAAACCCAGGCGGACCCGAGCGCGCAAAATGAAGTCCTAAAGTTTACCGTGGCTCATGTGCAGTTTGGTCATCCACGGGTAAATCTGTGGCGGGGCCGGTGGCTGGCTCAGTCCGGCGGGCTGCCCTGTCTGCGCCTGCTCCTCTTTGATCTCCCCACTGCTCTTAGCTCGCTCCTCCAGCGCTGGGCGAGCCGCCTTCTGACTGTACATCCCGGGGTTCAGAGGAGCCGCTTCATCTCTGCCCAGAGCGTGTCCCGGAGCGGCCGCGGCGCTGCAGGCGGGGCGGTCGGGGTGAGCCCGGGGGTTGGCAGCCATGTCTACCCCGTGGAGAGAGTTGGAAGGCGCAGGCGGTGGGAAAGTGATGCTTAAGTCCAATCCACCGTAGCAGTACCTGGATGCCTGCACCTCTGAGGCCGATCCATAGTTCCCACAAGTTTGCATGTTATAGGCAGGGATATTGGGGCTCTGCTTATAGAATGAATTGGCTACGTAGGAGCTCATGGCGGGGAGGGCCCAAAAAAAAATTTCTGCACCCTTTTTGATTAAGGGTGATTTGTGACTCTTTGAAGTTGAGGGGTTTTTTGTTCTCCAAAGTGCACAATTTATAGGTGGAGATATCTCTTTCTTTATCCTATGCGCTCTTCCCAAATAAGGGAGCCTTAAATAGAGTCACGTGACTCAAGCGGCCACTCATAAATTTGGCTTGATGACCTCCGGGAGGTTAGTGATGGAAGCCGGCGAAACGCATCTTGATATGTTGGCAAAGCCCAACCAAGGGGGAGAGGGAGTGAGAGAGAAAGAGAGAGGGAAGGGGGAGAAAAAAAAATGGTTCTTGGAATTGGGGGGTAGCCGGGACAACGAGCCCACAGCGACACCTGGTGCCTACTTGGAGGAATTGCAGTCTGGCTTGTCGGCCCGCCTTCAGACCCGCTGGATTCTCTACTCTGTAGAGAAGCTGGTTGTTGCTGCAACAAACACTTGAAATGGCCTTTTAAACTGTATTTAATTTTAAGGAAGGATGAGGTCTTGTTCAGAATACAAAAACTAACGGATAGCCTTGCCTCCCCACCCCCAGAGCCTTTCAATCTTCAAAATGGCTGAGGAAAGGAGATTTAGGTAGGAGGGCCCCTGGCCAAGTTGGAGATCCCAAGGGATTTACCTCAGGTTCTCTAAACCAAGCTTCGAGGTCCCTCTCCTTGGAGGCCCCAAGGCCCTGCTACTGCTGAGGAGGTGACTGTCAGCTTGGGGAAGCAAACCCAACCCCTGGAGAGGTGGACAGGATGCTCAAAGGAGGAGCGGTTCTGGGTGGACAGAACTAGACAGGGGGGAGGGTCAGGAAGGTGAAGGTGCTAGGAACTCTGGGATGAGCCTGGAGGTGAGGATCCAGGGGGAGTCGAGTAGACCTCACCATGCTGGGATCCCAGAGTGGCAACTAGGCAATTTTGTGTGTGTGTGTGTGTGTGTGTGTGTGTGTGTAGACCCAGACACAATGGGCTTGGAGGACTGCTCTGCATCCCTGTGCATGACCCTCACGGTGTATTCTATGCCAGATATTTGGGATAGAAAATAGATGTTAATTGAGGGCATGGAGAAGCAAGATTGAAGCTTCCACAAATGTTATATGAGCAGGGCAGAGGAAAAGGCCTGTTTTGTGCCCTTTTTGGAAAAGGCCTCTGGAACAGGCTTTCAGGGACCTAGATACAGAAGGTCCAGCAGAGCAATTTCTGAGCTATTTGGAGGCGTGGAAAGGACCTGGCTGGGGGTGGGGGATGGAGGAGGTGGGCAGGGCAGGCGCCTGGGCAACCTTCACAGCCTGCGGCCAGGGGCTCCACAGCCATTCGGCCCCTTTCCGAGCCCCCTCCCCTAGCCCCAAGTCTTATTCTTTCCTGCCTGCCTCTCCCTAGGAAATCCCCGCCCCTGCCAGGAGTAGCCCCCCTCCAGGCTCCCCCCACCCCCCCACCCCTGCTGGCGGAGGCGCTGGAGGGGGCGCTGGCGGGGATCTGGAAGGTCTGGAAAACTCTGGCGGATTTTTTCTCTCCGGGAGACCCCCTCACTACCTCACTCCCTAGGTCCACTCAGGTTTCTCTGGCTGGGCTTAAGGAGAGAAGGCCTGAGCTGGGGAAGGGTTAGGGTCTGGCTGAGCTCCTCAACCGCCGAGTTTGAGAGGCAAAGGAGTAAGGAACCAGACTGGGACTGGGGCTGTAAGGAAGAAGGAATTTTGTCCCAGCCCTGTCAGGAGTCCCAGAGCAGGCTCAGTTTCCAGGCTTTCCTTTTCGAGATGTCCTTGAATCTCTCAATCCCTGCGGAAGGGCTCAAATCCCGCGGTCTTCTCTTTCCCCTCGGCTCTCCGCCTCCGCCACGTTTCGCAACAGTCGGCCTGGCGCTGGCTGGGGGCTGCTCACGCGGCGCCCCCCTCCTCACTCCTGGGAGTGGACGGGGGAGACCCTGATGCCTGGAGAATGCTTCTTTTCTGGCCCCTGGGGGCTCGGGGTTCAGAAGCCGAGGACCCCAGACTACCACAGGCAGGAAGAAAGGCCTGTGTGGGGCTGGAGACCAATCCCAGCAACCCAGGCTTCCCCCCCCCCGCACCCCCAACGAGATCCTATGCGGCCTTTTTTGCGGGGTGAGTGTGTTGCTCCGCTGGGAAGCCCAGAGAGGCCTCACAGACCCCCTAGCGCGTTCACCAGGAGAACGGGGAGGCCCCGGCTCTGCGCCCGGCTCCCGGGAAAGGCGAGCGCAGGGGGCTGGGGGCTTGCAGGCGGCGGGCAGACGCGGGAGCGCTCGGAGCCGGCTCCAACTTTAACCCCAGGCCGGCGGACGAGCGAATTAACAGAAATCCCGATATAAACTTTTAAAAATAATATCAGTTTTATTAAATATTCGAGAACGGATCCAGAGGTCGGATTTATACAGGAGGGTAACACGAGGGGGATTTTTTTAATTTATTTTTTTTCTCCTACTGGCTAAACAAACGTCATTCACTTTTTTTTCTCCCTTTTTGTAATTTTCCCTCTTTTTTTTTTCCCCTTTTAAGATGGGAGTGGAACACGGACGGTGCTAAACATAAATATAAATACAGAGACCACAAATACAGCTAAAAATATTCACACAGAAACGGTCACAGTTTGTAATATGCCATAATGACCCCCAGGATTCTTTAAATACAATTTGCCTGGGCTGGGCATTTGCTGGGGCAGAAGGGCCGGGCAGGGGCTGCGGGGAGGCCCTGGGGGTTGCTGTGGGGCCACGACGAGCCCTCCTTGGGCCTCCCGCCCTCCGCGGCTGCCAGGCCGGGCCCTGAGGCCCCGGAGCGGAGGCCCCGGCCCGGGAGCCAGCTCTCTGCGCAGGGGCGGGGGTGTGGAGGCGCCGAGGGGGTGGGAGGCCAAGTCCTCATTTGGAGGGAGATCTGTGGAGTCTGAAGCGAGGTTCAGGGACGGAGCCCCCAAGGCCTGGGCGGGGGAAGGGGCCTGCAGACGAGCCGAGAACGAGCTAGCGAGGGAGCAAGGAGGAGGAGGCGCGTGGTGAAAGAGAGTTTGTGCGGTGAGGGAGGGGGTCCAGAGCTGACTCTCAGGTCCATATTTGACTCCCTAATTTTGTTTTAGGGAGTCAAAACACATCAGTTGTGCCAGTGATAAATACAGAGTGTGTGATTAGGAGGGAATTGGGGGGGTAGCAAGGGAGAAGGAGAGAGAGGGGTGGCAGGGACAGTCCTGGTCACTCTTTCTGCTTCTCCTCTTCTGTCTCTTCCCGCTTTTCCTCTTTTCCGCCCAGGCTGTCGGCCGCGGCCCCTCCGCCGCCCCCTGAGAGCGTGGACGTGAGATTAGATTCTTTTTTCCACTTCATCCGGCGGTTCTGGAACCAGATTTTGATCTGTCGCTCGGTCAGGCAGAGCGCGTTGGCGATCTCGATGCGCCGGCGCCGCGTTAGGTAGCGGTTGAAGTGAAATTCCTTCTCCAGTTCCAGGGTCTGGTACCGCGAGTAGATCTGGCGACCGCGCCTCCGGTCCGCTCCATAGCCGACCCCTAGAAATCCGGGCACAAAACACACTAAAAACAATCAGCGAGGCATCCTCCGTAGACGATTTAGCCTAGCAAAGTCCTGACCCTCCCAACTTGGCCAGCAGCTCACGGGCCCCCTCGGACCTCAGCCTTCTCCCTTTTGCCCTGCCCCACCCCCACTGGGGGTACAGCCAGGATCCCAACTTCATTCAGTCCCCCACCATATGTTGGTAGGTGAGTGTCCCAAAGAAGGGGGGGGCAAGAACCAGGCAGAAAGCTGTAAGTCTAAAAACTGGTTTTTGAAAAATCCCAAACACTGGGCATGAGGGCCCCATTTCTCAACAACTGGGCTCCCCCACCTCCCCAAGCACCCTAGCTCCTTGGAAACTTCCCCATTTCTCTGCCCCTTATTCTCCCCCCTCCCTTCTCCTCAGCCTGACTCGACTTTGGGGGGCTCCCCCACCCCCTGCCCCCTCCCCTCATACCCTGCCCTGTTCCTGCCCCCTCCGCTTGCCTTGGAGCCCTCCAATCCGTCAGGGGCCGAGGGGGCCAGGCCCCTTCAAGCAAGCGGGAGGCGAGCAGAGGGGGCAGAAGAGGGGGCCCTGTCTCGGCGTCGGCGAGGAGACGAGCGTGATTGTTTTTATGGGGCCATAAAAAACTCTCTCCGCCCGTTCTTCTAGGGAAGCCGGTCATAAAGCCAGTTCAGTTTATTTAATTTATATCTCGGAGCTGTAAAACTCACCACTGTGCGAATTCATTCGCTGCATCCAGGGGTAAATCTGGATACTGGCTTTCTGGTCCTGGGGCGCAGTCCTGCCCTGCTCAGAACTAAAATCCTGAGCGATTGAGGTCTGTGTGTTATGTCCTAAGGTGTTTTGTCTGCAGTTTGAGAGCATGTCTTTCTCCTGGTAAAAGGAATTAGATCCATAGTCATACGGCCCCCGGCTGGAACTGAACACGACATTCTCCTGTGGCGAATAAAAGGGAGTCGAGTAGATCCGGTTCTGGGCAACGGCTGCTCCATAGGTCGAGAAATGCCTCACTGGATCATAGGCGGTGGAATTGAGGGCGACGTTGGGGAGGACGTCCTGGCCCCCGGCGAGGTGGCAGGATAAGGAAGGGTTAGTGAAGTAGGAATTCATCCCTTTGCCTTTACCTGGTCGGGCTATGATTTCTTTAATATTTATTTCTGTCTCCAGTTTGTACTCGGAACTAGATGGTTATAGGGACGGCTCCAATCCAGGACAGACAAAATGACAAAGTCAGCTGACCCCCTTCCAGCCAATCGCAAGCCAGATGTCAAGAAGGGGGAAAAAAATCGCTTCTGCTTCTGTTGATTCCCTAGTTGAGACTAAGTGTGTGCTTTGAAAGTAAGACTTGGATTTCTTTTAAAAATATGTATGTTAGGGAACTGATTTGGAGGTGAAGAAGGGTGAATATGCATTGGCAGGGCCTTGGGGCCCAGGGAAGAAGAGCTGCACTGGTAGGAAATCTCTCAGCCCCAGCTAACTTTGCTGTGCTGTGGCCAGAGCCAGGTCTGGAGAAATCCCTCCATTTTCAATCTGATTTCATCTTTTATATCTCCCCCCCCCTTCTAAAATTACATCCTGATTTCTCTGTGGGAAGAGCCCCTTCCCAGCTCAGGGGGAATCCCCAGAAATCCTACAGGAAATCCCAGTTTGACCCTCCATGGAGTGAGTCCTCATCACTAAACCAGTATTTTCCCCCCCAAAAATTAAAAAAAAATCAAAAGTAGAAAGAAACTGCATAAAACATGGTGCTCAGAGGAAGGAGAGTGTGGCTGATAGTCTTAGGTGGAAGGGAAATGTAGGGAGCAAGGAGGTCTAAAGGAGTAAGGATGAGACCTCAGGACACAGTGGCAGAGCTGAAGTGGGCAAAGGGGCCATGCATTTGCTTCTTCATCCTCTTAGCCCCCTTCTGCCTCTCAGAACACCCTTTTGGGGGGAAACTCTTGCAGCATTTTTGCCTAAAAGGGAAAAATGTATAAAAATACAATAGAAAAGAGAGAGGAAGAAGTAAAAGGTGGGAGAGAGAGAGGAAAAGGAAGAAAGAAAGGAAGAAGAAAGAACTCTGAGAGTCTTTCTAGACACATCAACTCCTGTTTATGTTGGTGAGAATTTATGATTTGGAGCCAGGGAGGGCCGGTGGGGTAATTCACATAGGATCCAGGCAGAAAGAGAAGGCTGGTGGGGCTCTGAGGGACAGCGAGTGTCTGGCAGGCTCAAGCCCCTGCACAAGTCAGAAGCCCCCAGGCCCCTCCGGACTCTGCCTGGCCAAGGGAGGCACCCTGGACCTGAGCTCTGGGGCTTGGGAGATTCCAGCAAAGGGCTCCTGGGGAGCTCTCACTCAAGGGCCAGCCACACCTGGCAGAGCCAGGCCTCTCAGCAGCCCCTACCCCCATTTTCTCTCCACCTTGGGGCTGAGAAAAAGGAAGAGAAGGTTAGGAAAAGGCAGCTGAGTTCCAGGCTTCTGAGAGCCGCAGTGGGCAAACTGAAACAGTGGAAGGTGTGCAGATGGAGTTTTTCTCCTGATTAATCCAAACTTAATTTGATATCGTGATATAGGCTGAAAATGCTTTGAGCTGACAAAGAGGGGGCAGTGGGGCCAGCGAAGGGAGCAGTGGAAGCTCATATTTTCTCCTCACCATTTTTGGGGGGGGGGCTGACTATAACAAGAACCCGGATGTCTCCGGATTTTATGATCTTTTCCTTCTGTGTAACAAAGCGGAGTAATCAATGGGTAGCAATAAAGCCATAAACGGGACTACGCTGGGAAAAAACTCGTTTATTCATCTTCTGTAACGTTAAGGTTTCCCTGGAGTGTCGCTAGGGGGGAAAAATAAAGTTTCGAACCCAAAAGCAGACAGTGTGTAGGAGCTGGTGGAGACAACATGTTAGCTAATACATGAACCTCGTTAGGGGATTGAAGAGTCTTCCTGCCGGACAATTTGTGTTGGCTTTTAAAAATACAGCCCAATCCTTCAGAAAGGAGGGAAATTTGTTGGTATTTAAAAGGGTGGGGGAAAGACCTCTATCACTTTAAAGGTTCCCCCTCTTGGACCATACTTTCTTCCGCTCAAGGAGATAAAAGTGAAAGGGTAGAGGAGGGTTCCAAATTAAGAAAGAAATTTGGAGATGTGTCGTCTGGTTTGGGGGTGACATGGCAGGTACATAAACACAGACACTAGCGTGACTTGCTTTTTGCTCTAGAATCCAGCTGTCCTCCAATTCATGGCATGCCTGGACAGAGGTTTTCAACAGCTGGCTGGGGCTCCAGGCCCCCTGGAGGGCAAGAGGTAGAGCGAGAAAGAACTGGGGGGGGGAAGACCCAGGGGGCTGAGCTAAGAAACAAGTCAGCGCACCCCTGGACACAAGTAGCCGCTCTCAGAGTTCCCAGTCTCATTTCTGCCCTAAGGGTAGCAGTGTAACACGTAGAACAGGCCGGAAGAGAGAGTAAATTCCCTCCATCCCCCCCCCATATCAGAGAGATTGCTAGAGGGATAAATCATGTCAGTGATATTTCCTTCAAGATATTAAATTGTTGCAATGTACAACAAATTGAATGATGGAAGATAGGATGTCTTAATGAGGTTTCACTTTCAATGAGTGTTGATTTTCTATGTATTTTTAGATCTCTTTTATGGGGGGGTGGGGAAAGGAAGGACCTTAGAAGAAAGAAGGGGCTTCTGGGGAAGCATGTGCTGCAGCCCCCCCAGCAAGGATGCCTGGGTTTCCTTGAGCCCCTCCTAAACAAAGTCTGGAGGGGAAAGGGGGCCCCAAAGTTGGGCATAGTCTCCTTTGGGGCCTGAAAGTAGTGGGCGCGGGGGTGGGCGACCTGAGGAGCAGAATGTAAGTCTCAGCCCCGGAAAGTTAAGTGTTTTATTACGTCCCTAAACAGAGGGCAGAGACTGAAAGGTCTCGCCGATTTATAATGAACAGAAACCAGCTGCTGGGGGGAAAAGGCAGAAATGCTGGAAGGGGGAGAGAAGGGGAAGCAGAAATACAAATAAATTCCCCTACTGCTTAAAGATTTTTGGCAAAATTAATTTCCAACATACTCTCCCCCATCACCTTCTATTCCTGAAAAAAAGAAGCCTCCTTCTTTCAGTCAGATCTTTAATTATGCAGCTGAAATTTGCTGGAAGGATTCGCTCCAAGGGGGGAGAGCAGGTCAGATGAGCCCGATCTTCCCTCCATTGAATTATATTTTCCTTTTCTCATTTTATGTTAATTTTATTTTTTTGGCGAAAGAACGAGGGTCTATGGGGGCATAGCTGGGACTTGGGTTTTTCTAAATATATTTATATTTTCCTGTTACATTTGTCTGAAAACAATTATGGAAACTCATCAGCAGAAGCAAGAACAGATGTTTTATTAAAACTGCAGTTGAGCTCTGTAAATATGCACAAGTCCTGGGAAGGGGGGGACTTGTTCTTTGTTTCTATAAAACAAGCCTAGAGCAATCAGAGAACACCCCCATCAGGCCCGCAGGTCTCTGAGTAGCCCTGCCCCTTGGGCCTCCGGAATCAGGCATTCGGAGGGGTTTGGTGGCGAGAGCAGATTTTCGCTTTCGGAGCTGTAATTAGTGGATTCAAAAACAGAACTCAAAAAAAAAAAAAAAAAACTCAGAAAAGGAATAAAGGGGGAAAGTTGCCGTTCGCTGCTCCAGTCCCCCCATCTCCCCAGTCCAAAACACATGCTTCTCATGAGCGTTAATTATAGGAGAGGAACTTATTGCAGCCGCCATGGGCCAGCACGGGGGGAGGGGGGGGGGGCAGTCACTGGCCTGGAGTCCCCAAGGCTAAGGGGTGCTTTGGAGGCTGGGCACTCGACGGTTTCCCAGAATGAGTCAAGCGCTCCTACCCCAGCCTTAGCCTGCTCCAGGCCAGGGGCTGGGAGCCTGTGTCGCTCTGAACTGGGGAGAAGGTGGGTGTGATTGGACTCTGGCTGGGAAGGGGTTCGTGGGCAGGCCTCCTCTTGTCTGCCTTTGCTCTCCACGCTGCTCTGGGAAATATATTAATTTCTTGCGGAAGGGTATCTGAAGTGAGAGGGATGAGATCTGGAATGGTTACTGGGGGGCAATCTTTTCCAGAGGTCCTGGCTAGTTTGTGTTCTGCCAGTCTTCTCTCTTTTCCTAGATCCCCCAACTCTGCGCAGATGTCTGTGACTCACCCAGCCTTGCACACAGATACACACACTCCATTTCTGGCTGCTGGCGCCACCAACTACAGCTCGGCACCTCCGGAGGCTGCTCAAGGACCTGGACACCCGAGCCGCAGGACTCAGCGCTCGGCCTGGGCGCTTGGCTGCCTGGAAGCCGCAGTAGCTGCCCCACTCACCCCTGCCAATTCTTGATTTTGAGAGCAGGGGAAGGGCGGTGGCTCCACCAGCCCCTTTTGTGCCACTGGGCAAGGGCTGAAATCCCTCTTGCAGAGAAAGCCCAGTTTCAATAATTGTTCAGCTCACCTTACAATCGCACTGTTTGGTTAAGGCTTTGCTGTTCTAGAGCGATTGCTCGGTTGGCCCGACCGGCTTATGATTAGAATTTTTTAACTTAAAAATTAAAAAATAAATCCACTCCAAATGCCCAGTGTTTTGTGTAGGAGTTCCTTTGATCTCCATAGAATCCGGAGTAAAAGGATGGCAAAGAGAGTCTCCAAATCCGCCAGAGAACCTGACTGCGGGAAACTGGGTCTGCTTGGGGACACCAAAGCATAGCTCACCCAAGGAGCCTCCAGTTTCTCATAGATACGGTGGGGGAAGTAGTCTGAGCACATACCTCCCCATACACACATTGCATTCCAAAACAGAATGTTCCTCCTCCTTTCAAAGTTCAGGCATGGAGACACTTGGAGAAGGTGAAATTTGACACATCCAACCCGGAAATGGATCCCATTTGGGGGTGCTTATATTCTGGGGACAGGGCCCAGGCTAGCCAGCTAAATGCAGTTGGGGGACAGCGGGGCGGGTGGCGGGGGGGAAGGAGGACAAGGCCAGATGGGGTATGTCAAGCGCCTGAGAACTGCCCCAAACACCTCTGAGGCCTGGGCTGGCAAATTCTCTTTTGA